CAAAATTAACAATAATAATAATATTAATAATAATGCTAAGTTTCCTACTGATTACACTAATAATAATAATAATGAATACCTTGAGGTCTCGTACTTCGTTACCATACAAGGCCTTGATGTTGGCGATCTCCTTCATCTGGGAGCTCTCAATAACCTCAACCTTCACATAGATATATTCAGAGATATATTCAGAGATATATTCAGAGATATATTCAGAGATCATAAATCATCATGTCACAGTCAGATCAATATAATCACCATGGTTTGAATAATAACTATTATGATAAAAATTATTTAAAAATACTTATAATTACCTGTCTTGTCATCCTTCTATTCTCTGTTTGCAGTTGACGAACCTAGAACAATTCCAGATTGAGATTAAATGAAGAAAAAAAATGAAAGAAAGTAAATTCTTTTATTTCCATTGTGAATTCAAAATATAAACAAAGGCCGTAAGAACAAGAAAAAAGAAAAATTCAGAATTAAAAATAATTTCATTAAAAAAAAATATTAATAATTTAAATGATATTATAATATAAAAAACCTTATCAATGTATCCTGCAAGTCTGTTGTTTAAGCCCTGCATATGATCCTTCTCTTCAAATCTAAAAAAGTCTTCTTAAAACTTTGGCAAAAAATAAAAAATGTAAGTTTGAAGAATAATATTCAATTACTTTTAGAAATAATCTGATTTGTAAAGAAAAAGAACGTAAACGCAATCCTGAATTTTATATCAAAAATAATAATAATACTAATAACAATATATTCTATTCTCTTTGACTAATTATAAAAAATTGACGACACCAATTATAAATCAGGATGTTTTCACAAAGAATGAGACTTAATAAAAGCTTAAACTCTTTAGAAATGTTCTCTCTATGAAATACCCTATTATGTACCCTATCTATAAAAATTTCTAATTGTGAAATTTTCTATTCATGAAATGTCTTGCATTTAAAATGCACAGTCCATGAAATGTCTTCTATGTAATGTTTATCATTAACATTTGACCAGGGTGGCCAAATTTTTTTTGAAAAAATCCGTACAAAAATCAGTACATTTTCAGAAAAAAACCGTACAATCCGTACAATTTTCGAAAAAAAATCCGTACAATCCGTACAATTTTCGGAAAAAATCCGTACAATTCGTACATTTTTTTGAAAAAATCCGTACATTTTTTTAAAAATCCGTACAATCAGTACAATTTTCGAAAAAAATCCCTGCAATCCGTACATTTAAGAAAAATAAAACCATTTTTGAAAATATTATTCAACACTGTCTCACCCCCCCCCCCATTCCCCACCACCTCTTTCTCCCCCC